CCTTCTCCTCATCAATCAATCAATATACAGTCTGTAATATATCTTGGATCTACAATTTAAATAGATAAACCTTAAGGTGCAACCTAGACACATTAGCAGTGATGTAACCTGGGGTCATTGGGGTCTTTCATCATCATACATTCTCTCCCAGGTGACCCATCCAGGGTTGATCAGACCCTGGCCTGTGTCCAGGTAGCTAGTGTGGTCCACATATCACCCCTCTTGATCCACAGCCATCTTGATGCCCTCTCAGCAGCATCAGTGATGTTCCTGATGGCTCTCTTGCTGTGCAGTCCTCTGAACCCCAGTAACTTGAGGGCCCTGTAGAGGGACTGGTAAATCCTCGGCAGTCTTCCATCCATTGCTTTGACATTCAACAGTGTGCTCCTCATACTTGGCCTTCTTCCTCTCAGAAGCCTCTCCCATCTGGTCTTCCCAGTCTTCTTACCAGTCCGAACCGTTGGGCTTTTCGGGACTCATCGGGCTCAAGCCATTTGAGATAATAGAATGCCTAAAAATCTGTACATCATTTAGTAAAAACATGAGTAAGAAAAAATGATCCTGTAGAGCCTTCATTCCTAAAATAGGCAAGAAATGTTCTCATGTTACTATTTTTTGTGTTACATAACGTAGGTAGAGTAGGAATTTGGCTTAAATAGCATTACTCATCGAGAAGTAATGGAACTTTTGCTGAGTTGATTTGCTGACCCATTTAGAGAAACAGAGGGGAAATTACACAACATTAAAGATATTTTCAACACCCAGAAGATTCAGAGCTTGTGAGACAAAGTTCTGGGCTGGATCCCCAAAGGCACCCCCATCCTCCATCCACCTTCTGCTTCGCCAGTGCTGTAAAATGCGGGAAGTGCTCTAAACAAAGCTCTGAGAGGAAGTTCCTGAATTAAGTTGACCTCAGGCCAAAGCTGAGCCTGTCTAAAACAAATAGCTGTACTGGCAGTGTAAATTAGGGTACACGGATTTGTGTTGTTCAGCAGCAGATAAAGACGTTCAGTTTGTTACTGAGAGTATGTGGAGGAGTCATACAGTGTCAGCTCGTAACTTACAGAGCGTCCTGTAAATATTCTGTGGTTGTGCCTTTGATCTGACAAGTGTATATGTAAGTGGCAGCTGTGTTGATCAGATTTACGCTGTGAAGTTATGGAGAACTTAGATTGTATTTGTTGTAAACACATGAAACACAAGCAGACACACACACACACACACACACACGCACACACACACTTGACAGCCAGTGGGTCCTTGGTTCCCCTCCCAGCTTGTGTGTGTTCAGCAGATTCCACAGATTTCAGACCCGCGTGGAGATTCTTCAGCCCTCCATTCCTCTCTGACACAAACCCTCCTCTGTTGTCCCTGCCAGAGCCTCTCTTTGCCCGCACAGGGACGCCTAACGTCAGCCAGGGCACCCAACCAGTGTCAGACAGTCTCATGCCAAGGCTGCAGTGTGACGGCGCTCACTGTTTCATCTGCTTTCACGTGTCCAGCACTGGGAGTATGATCTGAGTAAATCACAGACTGTTCTTTACTGTTACAGGGAGTAGAGCTCTGGCATGAATCTTGATCGTTTGTGCTTCACTCTGCCATCACACCATTAAGTAGAAGGCAGAAAGCTCTGTTAGTTAATTCCAGGCATTCAGAGGAGGGAAGGTCAGTAATAAGAACTAACATTAGCTAAACTAACCATTAACTAGAAAGATAAAAATGCTCAGTCTGTGTTTTGGATTAAAGCCCTCGAAAAGTAAGGTGGTTTCACTTGAAGTTTGGGTGTAACACTTGAGAAACTGAAAGACGCGCAATCAGAGACAATCATTTTTGTATACTGAGATGAAATTATGATGAAACTGTGGCTGTAGGGCTCTTATCAGGAGCACATCTGATCAGCAGGATAAATGTTCAGCACACACTCCAGCTGCTCAGTGGGCTCTTGATGGACACAGAGATGGACAATCTGCATGATGATGAGGACAGAGTACTGTTTGCCAAACTGCTGCTACATTTAAAGGGAAAGTTCAGTGCTTTATGTGGTTCATCCCAAGATTTAAAACAATGCAGAATTCAATAAATGAGGCAATTTTAAGACAATACGAAGAACAATGAAAATAAAGATAAAATACCATCACTGAAGCAGATACACAAAGTTGGCAACTAATTGCCCTGTAGATTGCACTGAGGTACAGAAAATCAAACAATAATAGTAATAATAAAATAAAAGAATACAATAACTGATGACAACAGTGGATAATAACGATAAAAATAATCCAAGGCTTTTTTGAATAGATACGTTTTAAGAAGCGATTTAAAAGATGTCACTGATTCAGCAGCCTCAGATCCTCAAGCAGGGACTTCCAGAACTGAGGAGCCTTGACTGCAAAAGCCTGGTGCACATTTAGTCGCCTTTAGCTTATGTAAGGCTGCGACCTGGCTCATAGGGGAGAAGCATCTCAGTGGTATAGCTGGGGGCTGAGCCATGAAGTGCTAAAAGAGAGGCTAAAACAGGGCTGATGCGGTCATGTTTTCTAGTGTTTGTTAAAAACCAAGCTGCTGCATTTTGCACCAGCTGAAGCCATGAGATGGCTTTTTGGCTCAACCCTGACTACAGTGAGCAATGAGCTGTAATCTAACCCTGAAGAAATGAATGCATGGATGACCTTCTCAAGATCATGTTAAGAGAGAGTACATCTGATTAATCAAAAGAAAGAGAACTGGACAACGCTTGCAATTTGTTTTTCAAAGGAGAGGTCACTTTCAAATATCACACCAAGGTTTTTGGCTGCAGGTTTGACATTTGCAGATAAGAGGCAAAGATGGTTTTGTACAATGGTGATGGATTTAAGAGGACGAAGAGGATTATTTCTGATTTATTGTCATTTAACTGGAAAAGCTTTTGGTGCATCCAGCACTTTATGTCAGACAGACAGGATAAAAGGTGATAAAAATTGCCTTCTTCACAGGTTTTTAATGGAACATATATTGTGTGTTGTGTGCATAGCAATGGTAGTGGATATTGTATTTTGGAAAGGACGCCAACAGAGATAGACCTTTTAGTTAAATAGTAAAATTTGAATGTAATGTTTGTTCCTTATTTTGTTGCTCTTTCTTATCTGCTAGCTTAATATCTGAATCAACTGAGTGTAAGATCACGTCAGTTGTTGCCAGATTTCATGAGAGTATGTTGCTAAGTATGCATGAACAAAGTTAATTGTCTCCTGATTTGTCTGCTTGAAAATATGCAATATCAGTGTCAGAATGTTTAGGAGAATTGTGGTTTATGAAAAATGGGTCCAGTATTTACTTCAGTGTCGATGGGGAGAATGAAACAGTCATAATCTGTACTTACGTTTATTGGAATCCTAATGGGGTGGGGCAGGGGCGAAACCCACGTCACACAAATACAGGAAATGAATCTAAAGTGGGCCGTCTCTGTTTAATAGCCGTCTCTAGCCGGGTACAGTAACTTCCTGGAGTCTCTGCTGGTTGCCAGGCAACTGGTTTTACACTTCGGTTTTTGTACGGATTAAACAAACAAGATATAGCATGTTAAATGTTTGGCTTCAGAGCTGTTGATAGATGTATTTCATCTCCTTTGGGCAGAGCCAGGCTGGCTGTTTCCCCCTGTTCCCAGTGTTTGTGCTAAGCTACGTTAGCCAGCTGCTGACTGTAACGTACAGAGGTATGAATGTTCTCATAACTCGTGGAAAGTGAACAGGTGTATTTCCCAAAATGTCAGTTTTTCTGCAACCCTTCCATCCTAATTAAAGAATCATCATTCCTCCAAGTAACCTCTGTTGGCAGGAAACAAACAAACTGTCGACTAAACTTCAGTGAGTGAGCGCTCTGAATGCTTTTGTTGTTCTGAAAGAGTCTCAGATTGGTCATCAGAACTGATTAACACAAGTGTGATATGTGCAGCACTGTGGGAGCCACCAAAGTACAGTTTTTTTTCCAGGTGCTTCACTGAGAGAAAAAGAGAAAAGTTCATTCTAGGCGGAGGTGGGTGGAGTGTTAGCTCTGAACAATTCTCTTACATAATCCAGTGAAGTGACCATCACTCACCACTTGTGTCAAGCTGTATACAAGAGAAAATGTTGAGTCAGTTGTTACAAAGTCCACAGTTCATTTATGTCCACTGGAGTCATGAAGTAGCTTTAATCAATCAGCCTCTTCTGTAGAAAGTGAGTCAGAATTATTTATAGAGGCTCATTGTGTTCGAGGGTTTGCCTGACAGAGGGCGGGAGCACACAGACGCTCTGATGTGGAGGGAGTGTCAGGTCAGATTTGGTCACATTGACAAAGATTATCTTGACCAGCACTGTGTCTCCTGAGCTCTGTGGCTCCTGTATTTCATATTCTGACCTCTTTGATGACAAAGCCCCTTTTCTAAATAAAGAACCTGCTTCTTCCACTGAGCGGAAGGGAGGCTCTAGGGTTGAGCTTCAGTTTTTTCCTGGATGACAATATGGCTCTAACTCTTCCTGCCATCCCAGAGTGGGACTGGATGGGACAGGGCGAGGGGATGCGGTCAGAGGTCAACGCCCAGCTTCCATTGTCCTCCTCGAAGCCTGGAGCGAGCCGGGCTGCGGACCACACCGGAACTGGTCCCTTCCTCAAGGCCAGAGCAGCGCCGACCCTCTACCCCCTCCCCAAATTCTCTTCCCGGCAGACCTCCAATCATATGCCTCCAGGAGCCTCTTCCTTCCTGGCGAGCAGTTAGGAGTCACGTGGAGTCAAAACAACAGCTTCAGTTCAGACATGATTGTTAAAAACACACAGCACAACATATCAGCATGCAGCAGCCAGCTGTATGTTCAACCTCGGCTTTATATTCATGGTTAACGACTCACTGGAGCTCTCCGTAATCTTTGTGCCTCTTGTTCTTCCTGAGCCCATGGTGGAGGTATTCTTAACACTAATGCTCTGCTCTATATTGATGTATGTCACATCACAGTGTATTAACATATCTGTTTTCCTCTGGTCTCTTCCAGGAGGTGTTGTGCGCTGAGCTGCGGCCACGTCTCTGCATGATCCAGCGAGGGTCAAACGGATATGGCTTCAACCTACACAGTGAGCGGGCGCGGCCGGGGCAGTATATCAGAGCTGTGGATGAGGACTCTCCAGCAGAGAGGGCAGGCCTGCTGGCCAAGGACAGGATAGTGCAGGTACTTAATAAGAACACTGACTGTGAGACCATGCAGGGCAGTAACTCAGTACGGTGTGAAAAGAGGGACATTTATGAAAATTACTATTGTTCTGCTGAGATGATTTTCTTGTTTGGAGGCTCCTTGAACAGAATGCTCAATTTAGGTGTTATGTAAGAAGCTTAAATATAAGTCCTTGGCAGTCTCTTTAATTTAATAGATACAGAATCATCTTTATGAGGAGTAACAGATTGGAGTTACACAAAAATAAGCATCCTGATTAGTCTGCCATATTTCCGTTCCAAGCAGCCTGTTGTGATTTTTTTTTACATGGATAAAAATAGAGAAGAATGGTGTGGCCTGTAATCAGGCCTCACCTACACTGTGAGAGCTGAGGTAGAAAGCCCGTTTACAGTCTGAGAATAAAAAGTATGACTTTCTGCTCATGTCCTAGATTTGACCTTGTAGTTGCATCATTGCCATTAATGACAGATGCTCAATAACAGGCATTTTACACTGTTTTAGGACAGAACGTAAAAGCAACAGTACAAGTTTGACGGACAGCGACTTCTATTATGTTTATTTTAAAACAGAAAAGCAGTGGTAGAATATGACAAAGTACATTTTCTCAAGATTTGTACTGAAAACGACGGGTCCAAAATTTCATTTCTTAATTTATTTATTTAGAGGTTTTATTATCATTCTGTAGCTTTCAAGTCATGTACCCTATGTATTCAAATCCAAACATTTACATTTTGGTCGAAGTATGAATGTTTTAGGGCCCTGACACACCAGGTAGAGTGTCGGCTGTTGGTCAGTGTCGAGGTGCGGTAAGCGTCTGTCACACTAGTTTGTCTGTTATGTCCTGTGCCATTGGCACTAGTTGGCCCTTGACGGCTTTTTTTCCTGAATTCAGCATGTTGAATCAGTGCTGGAGCCCCGTAGGTGAATGATGTCGCTCTGATTGGCGGATGAGCTCAGTGCACTACTGGACAAATGGAAGTGAGGAAAAGAAACAAATGGCTTAATTCAAGAGGGCATGACTTCGTAATTGTTTGTCTTGTTGTTTGGTAGCGCACAATAAAAATGCTTTGTTCTTTCAACATCGGGTTGTGTTGGTATTACGCTAATTGGAAAACTAGTGTTTTGAATCTGTTCTGTCAGTCTTCCAGTTTCCCAGTTTTTATAACGAATACAGATTCACGCCTTCTCCTGGTACAGAGAGTTATTTCCTCTCACACAGGCGCAGAAAGTACGTGCTAGTTGGCCACTGGCTGTAGTCTTTGCGGTGTGTTCAGGTGCAGCTTTTCAGCCAAGACACAAGTGAAGTGTGGAGACACAAAGGTCGACCTTTTGTATCGATGTATGGATGCCACATTAGTTTGGATATTTTATTGTAATTTTGCTGTTCTTGATTATATACTTCTATACTATATACTATTTTTATTCCTTTTAGTATGTTTAATGTATGCATTAAACATACTAAAAGTTGCAGTTTTTATCATTATTTTCACTGATCACTGCTCTGACCTATGTCACAGCCTTTTGCTAATGGCTGATTGGGTGTTTCCACCCGCAAAACCCGGAAGAGAACACGGGTGGACCCGCCCTTTAAGTGCAACTTTGAGGTACTTTACTTGAGTAACAATCAATCAACTAACAGAGAAAATAATCAGCAGATGAATCCATAATGAACATAATCATTAGGTGCAGTCCTACACAAAATAGTTAAAAATAGGCTCCACTAACTACAACAGTAAAATCCTGCTTTTACATTAATGCCTGTGTGATAATAATCTATCATAAGTAGGCTTTACAATAATGTAACAGTCACATGGGACATTTTTCTGCATTGAATACTTGTAATTAAAATACTTTTGATTATACTTTTACTTTATGTTTTCAATGCAGGACTCTCCATTAGTATCTGAGTCAAACAAGTCTTCTTTTACTCAGAAGTGGTCTGGTCTTTTCCCAAAGTTAACAGCGTGTTCAGAGGAATGTGATGTGAACTAACAGCCGCTGTGTGGGGTCTTAAATCCCTCACAGGACTTGTCACTGTGAGCAGCCTCACACTGGAATAATCAGCCTCTTAACTGGTCTGGGGTCTGCTCTGCCCACCTCTTCTTTAGAGTGTACACTGGCCTACTGAGAGGTATGAGAGTAAACAAAAACTAAAATTACAAAGTGAATTACTGCAATTTCAAAATGACATAAGTGCAGCTGTGATGTAGGATGCTCAAAATAAACTTTGTATCATCCAAGTCTGGTCAAAAACAACGGAGTGTGTGTTTAAATATTTGTTAAACGGACAGTTCACCCTAAAATTAACTGCATCACTGCACATAAGGAAGCGTGCATTTACTCATGGACGTGACGCTCATATTGGAGACAGTCTGAGGTGTAAACATTACAATCTGTCACTTTAATATGCTCATGCTTAACAAAATGCCAGTATGAATAACAGTCTGAGCTGATGTTTGAGAGACCGAGACACCACTGACCCTTTTAGCCTACCACAGACCACATGTCTGCGTTTTATTGTCCTCTAATAGATTTTTACAACCATAAAACCTTGTGGTTGTGATATCATACAACCAACCATACTTCCACTTATTATTCAGCCAGCAGAAGCAGAGGCAACCCACAATGAGTGTGTCTGACTCACTCAGAGTAATACATTATTTTAACACATGGTTGAATCAGAGCAGCGGCGGCAGCGTGTCCTCTGATGTGGACTATCACGCACGACTCCCTTCACTCCCTAAATGAATGGCTGTAGCAGAACTAGAGTGAAATGAAAAGGAAGAATCAGAGTAGAGGGAGGACAGAAAGAGGACAGAGGGATTAAAGGTCCTACAGAGATTTGAGGTCTGTATGAGAGTGTATAGCGAAGGGTTTCCAGTCCCCCAGAGGGCCCCCAGACAGCCACACCACCCACTGAGGAGCGGGCTTTGTGGGGAGCGGACAGCCATTGTTACTGCTGTTACTGGCCGAGCGGCTATTGTCCAGCTTCCTCTGTGGGACTGGCTTAGACATGCGGGTCCACCCTATGACCTAAACACACACACACACACACACACACACACACACACTTCAAGACATTTCTCACATGCTTTCCCATGGTGATTCTATCCCAGAACTCTCAGCTGGTGTGGGAGGCAGCCACCTGACACACTGATTTACTGTATACCACAGAATTAAAGTGTCACACACAGTCAAGAACATGTAAACATGGTGTGTAACCATTGATTTAAAGGTCCAGTGTGTGTAAAAATTAGGGGATATAATAGCAGAGATGGAATATAGCATAATAAGTATGTTTGTTTGTGTTTTTGTTTCCCTAAAATGAGCCGTTTATATCTGGATAAGGAGCAGGTCCTCATCTACAGAGATCACTATGTTTAACTGCTATGTTCCTACAGGAGCCCAGGACGGATAAACCAAACACTGGCTGTCAATAGGGCCATTCGTGTTTTTGCATTGGCCACAGGAATTACAGTAGCAGCCCCTCCACAATGAAAGCAAAGAAAAACACTGATTTTTTTCAACATGAAACTTATTTATTCGGTCTTTTTACCCATTTAAATCAGTGAGTCTGTTTGTTTTGAAGAGGAGGAGACCGCTGTGGATAATTTGCCTCCTGATAAAAACCTCCTGATGTCTGGATCTTAAGTTATGAGAGAAAAAAGATGAGCATACATTAGCAGGTGCTGAGTTAGTGGCCGTCTCCTACATGTCAAACAGCCTCTGAGAAACACTGATTTGTAATGTGACGCTGCCTTCACCGGTTGTTTTGGAGAGGAAGAGACCTCTGTGGATAAGTCAGCTCTTGGTAAAAACCTCCTGAACAATGAACACTGAAGGAACCTGGAGAAGTTTCATCTGGTTGTAATCTGCAATCCTCACTGCTGGATGACACTAAATCTTACACACTGTTTGTTAAAAGGCCAAATTAAAACAAAAACAATCATCGTTTTTGGTGTTGAGCTCATTATGACGATTCTTTTGTAAGTTAAAGATTGAAAGAATGTGTGTGCATGTGTACGTGCGTTTGTGTGTGGACACACAGGATTTCCTGCTGTGGAGCCTCTGGCAGACAAAGTGATAATACTGAGAAAGAAATCCTTGACAGTGATGAAAACAGTTTGGTCACTTCTGTGTGGGAACAAAGATAAGACGGCCCCCAAAGAGGATTTTTGAAGAATTTTGAAGGATTTTCCACCACGTTTAAATAACAAACCAAAATAATCTCTTTGTTCTCCTCAGGTGAACGGTCAGTCAATAGAGGGGAAGACACATTCAGAAGTCGTGGCCGCCATTAAAGCAGGAGGGAGAGAGGTACATCTGCTGGTGGTGGACCCCGACACAGACGCCTTCTTCAAGAAATGCAGAGTGGCCCCCACCTCGGACCACCTCACCGGTGAGAGGAAACACAGACAAAACCATTTTACCATCACTAATAGGCAGAATAAGTTCTACTGCGGGCGTCTGACAAGGACGGAGTGAATGACCGCAATTAGCTCGTAACATTTCGCTCCAGGTTCATTGTCAGTCACAGTTGTAGACATGTTGTAGACACAAGACATTGCCTCCTCCTGTCCTCCTCTCAACTCCAACAGATTAAAAAGCCTGTCACACCGTTTCTTGGCTCTCCTCTCCTCCGTTAATTCTTCCTATCTGTCTTTGTCTTTGTCTCACTCAATCCTGCACGGCTCTCCTCCTTTTCTTTCTCTCTGTGCCAAGAAACGTAGACAGAGACAGAGACGCTGAGACACTTCCTGCCCTCCCCCACACCCACATGTTGATGCCCTGTGGAGAAAGTTAATCTTTTAGACATAAATAGATCAGATCAGACAGATCAGAGTGGGATCGCACTGAGTAACAGTGTTGTTTGGAGAGTATAAAGGTTTAAATGCAGATCTCTGTCTGGTTAAAGTTTACTATCACATTGCAGCTTGACACTTTATTTAAAAAAAGGAGAAAGTCTTCAACTTTTTACGAATGTCATGGACCCTCGAGGGTCTTCATCAGTAGACAGAGTTTGCTCAGTTGACATGGAGACCTATAAAATGTCAGTCCTGTGTTAACTCCATCTTAGTTTTCCAGAAAACGTCTAATAAGACGACCATTGTCTAGACTTTTTTTTTTTTTGCTGCTATTTCAAACGTCAATAAACTGATATATGACTGACATCTTTTTGCTGCCTCCACAAAAATATCAGATATTGTCGTCTCAGGAGCTGATGGGGATTCAGTGCCTTGCTCAAAGGCACTTACACAAGTCACAGTACCTGGTTATAGCTACCACAGCCCCCAGGGGGAGCCCTCATACAGTGTGTGATTTGGTTTCTGTGTTTAAGGGGCCGACCCTTCACACAAAAAGATCCTCAAGCAGGTGGTGTGTGTGTGTGTGTCCTGTACTTGGCCAAGTGTCTGAGTGCCACTCTGCACCATGAGACCCCTCATGTAAACATGCTGCTGCCAATTGTCGGCATGGCAACAGACAGTGAACGGGGTGGCAAGATGCTGCCCTCTGTATCCGGGACGGAAGAAATTGATTTTTCTTTTGTTGATCTTTTTTTGACGGTTTAAAAGATTGTTTCCTGTCTTTCCAGTTAATTATTAATACATTAGAGTAGGCATGTGGGCGACATGTCCTGTATTGATATTCCACTAATATGCCTGTTTACATGCAGCCGTGCATACTCCAATTAATGTGCCCTAACACGTCGTTTATCATGTTAAAATATGGAAACGTGTCTGTCCCTTGTGCCAGTATTATTTCTAAGTTGTCCTCCAGTGGAGGACGCGTTTGACCGTGCAAACACAGCCTTCCTCTTTCATTGTTTCAACTACCCTCTTGAAAATGTCAACATTACAATATTTGTGCATATCCAAGATTGTTTAAAAGATGTGTTTCTCCTTTTGACCAGCAATGTTAGCTTCTCTTTAGGGCGTGCATCTCTACCTCACAGCCTTGCAAACTGTTGGTTAGACAGAGCCGACCATAAACAGACAAGAGGCAGTGTGTCCCAAACTGCTATAAAAACCCCTATTAAGATGCATTTTCTGCATACACTGTATACATGTCCAAAGAATACTATTAAAACCTGAATAATATCAGCATATCCCATGTCTTAATCGGAAAATATTGGTGTCAGAAAAAGATCTAATTCAAAATATCCAAATGTAATATGCTGTTGACATGGCCCGTATCAAACTCATAATATCGTCATATTGGGAATAATAGTGGAATATTAGCGTACATGTAAATGTGCCCAACGATTGAGATGGTTCATAATTTCCTGGACTCTCAAACCCTCCAGTGTTTCAGCCCAGGATTAAAAGTAATAACTCCCTCCAGGGGAGAGATTCCAGTGAGGTGTTTCCCAGGTAACTGCCTGCACTTCACATGCTGCCCACTCAGTGGGCACCTGCCTACAGTGACTCTTAACGTCAACACACTCATACAGCCTCTCTCCGAGCAGCCCGGCTGGCCAGCAGCTTTGTTTGGTTTCCAAGGCGCTCACTCCAAGTGGCCTCTCAGCCTGGAGCTGGGACTTGGAGAGGCTCCTCTCAGAGTCAGGGACACAAAAACACACACACACAGCAAAGACCTGAGGAGGACTCAAATCTAAGATTAACTCTGGAGGACCAGCTGCTGTCTCCAGTTATAATCATCATTAGGTAGAAACACTTTTTGGCTGTGCGGAGGATCAGAGGGATGGAAGGTAAGAGATGTGTCAGACCTCTGTGAGGATGCCTGGCTGCAGTTATACCCACATTTGAACACAAAATTAATTTTTGAGAGGTGCTAAGACAAAATGCTTATCCACAGATTGGATACTATCACAGTACTGGGGTGCTGATTCCATATGCATTGCGATTTTTAAGTATTGTGAGCTGATATTACGATTAATTGCAATTTTTGTTCACCTTTTTAACACTAAACCATGTGAAAAAGTTGAATCATACACTTCTGGAGCCTGTATATCATGAGACATATTTCCAAAAACACACATCACATGTCAGTCAGCAGCATCCTAAACTGCACAGAAAAGTGGTTAATAAACTAAGAACTGTTTCATTTGACCTATTTTTAAATATTTTATTCCAGCTGAGCACTTTCTGATCTTGCTCTGTTATGGGTGCTATGTTAAATAGACTTAACATTTTTACTAAAATGTACATGTACAATAGAATGAATAAAAAGCACTGTTCAGAGTAAACTTAAACTGCTACATTTAGCTGTGCCTGCAGTGTTTTGCATACATTGATTTATTTGTGGCAGCCTTAATATCAACATTGACCACAACTTATTGATTTTAATTGAATTGAATTTAGTTTTATTTGATTTTTGTATTTAAAATGGGTAAAATTAGTGCTAGTGCACCCCGCCGTCCCTCCACCTCTCTCCCCGCCTCTCTCCCTGCCTCTCGGAGACTAGTCGCAAGGAGGAGAGCAGGTGGAAGATCTGGAAGGACCTAGAGTGACAAGTTAAATTCAGCCGGCACAAACCCCAGCGTCAGGGTTCACAGCAGGCTGGGTCTAATCTCTGTAAAGGCAGCAACAGAAAGTTTGCTTATCTGGTGGGAGTTTGCTCAGGGCTGGCTGAATTTGAGTCGCTATTCCAGTACCTTAAGGTCAGTATCCTCAGACCGTCCACCATTTTCTGCTCTAATTACACATAGACTGCCACGATAAAAGTGGCAACTTCTTTCCACCTGCGCGTTTCAATCATATTGATTCAGGTACTGATTAAAAAAAACCCATAATACTCAAGTGAATCGCTTTTCCCCCCACCCCTACTATGTGTCAGCACATTTTTACAAGAAAAAGCTGCAGGGAAAAGTTCCACTACAGCCATCTGATATGCAGAGGGTCTGTGGGTGCACTGGAGGAGGAGGAGGAGGTATAGAGGACCAGGAGGAGAACCATCTCATAGAAGATGAACCATGTATGAATAATAGATGACCTGCTCATACCTGCGCTATGTAATAGAGTAGGTGTTGGTGGAATGAAAGGTGAGCTGCAGAAAGACTCTTGACCTAGCAGAGTGGAGCTGATGGTGCAGGACTGAAGGACTGCAGGTATCATGACGTGACATTAGTCCTGACAGACGGGAAGAGTTGTAGTTTTGGAGTGCAATGACTGATTCTTGTGTCATTTCCGTGCCTACAGGTCCACTGCCTGAGCCTGCCATTAATGGAGGAATGGAGGAGAAGGTAAGATTACACCAGCAGCATGTACACACAAATACAGAATGACACTTAAAAAGTGTAGAGCCATCATTTGGTTTTAAGATTTACTCAAGAGCAAAGCCAAAAGTGGGATTTAAGCTTTGAAGTTTGTGAAGAGTCGTCAGTCTCCCGCAGTGGCAACTTCCCTCCTCTCATATGGAGCCTCTTCTTCCTGACAGAGAGGACGAGGACAATAATAGTTCAGCTTTGAATACTCTGTGTGTGTGGGACAGACAGTCCAGCAGCCCGAGGTCGAGCAGCGTTTGAAAGTAACATGCAGCATTTTGGCATTCAGAGAACTGAGACGCTGCAAGTGAAGTGAGTTATTAATCACAGAGACGTGTACTGAGCGGGCTTTCCTGTGATTGTCTAAACGTTCTGGCATTCATTGTATGGTGCTTTGTGGAAAACCGCACCCAGCTAGTTCTCCATTAACTTTGAATTATTTGAGTGTTTGACCAAGGACAGATTGTGTGTACAAAATAAAAAATATCCAATGGATAAAGGGGCTCGACCCACAGTTTATTGTATAAAAAGGTGTATAAAACTGAAAGCTAGAGGCATGGAGAATGTCGCAGCTTCATGTTAATCCTTTTGAAGTATTTGGGCGTAATCCCAATAAGACACACTGGCCAGCACTTACTGGAAGAGACAAGGCCCTCGCAGACTTCAAGAAATAGTTTGACATTTTGTTAAATGTGCTTATTTGCTTTCTCGCTCAGAGTTAGATGAGAAGTTGAACGGTGTTTTGCTTCCCCTCATGAGCAAAAATGATCGCTATATGTCTTAATGTATAGCCCTTTTACCACTGGACAGTAAACCCACAAACACCTACTAACATCTGGCTTTTGTATGTAATGGGAAAGGTTATGATCGTCATTCACTCCTGGGACAAATGACTCTGCAGTAGTCACGGCAATTTATCAGCTCCAGCTCTGATCAGCAGTAGTGGAAATACAACACCCAGGTGAAAGCGCTAACTTTAGCACCTTTGCTTTGGTGATGCAATGAAGCGCCACCACTTCTACATGCTGCTTAATCTTTTTAACAATGTGTTGTATTATAGGCTTTTAGGTTATTTAATTATTTATAATAGGCCTATCTTAAATGTTATTTATTTTGTGCGCTCATGGACCTGGGTAACGAGTTTTGTTCTCTCATGCTCTTCTTCAATAAACTGAACCTTGAACCAAATTACCATCTGTCTCCGCCCAAGCAGCACTAGAACGTTGTTAAAAATTTGTTGGCACCACGACTGTTAGAGAGACTGAATGATTGAGGTTTTTTTCTGGCCTCTATGCTGCTTTCTACTGTTTACTAACCCGTTTTCTGGCCCATCTGTGACCCATTAGGAATTTTTTTTTAAAAGAGGCATACTCATGTACTTCAGAGCCTACACAGCTCTGGTTTTCTTGCAACAGGAAACAGTATTTTTCCTATTTTAACGTGTTTTCCTGTGTTTAAAAAACCTGCATACAAACGTTAATTTTGGTGGAAAAAGGGGGTATATGAGGGACAGATTGTGGAGCTCCCCGACCATCCACCAGTTGACGCAAAACATTTAAGTCCACCAGCAAATGAACAGAGAGCTCCAGGTGCTTTTGACAGGTGGGGAAGCCAAACAGTGTTCGTCTACACATGCTGCACACATTGTGATGACACAAAGCTGGTTGTAAATTGGCAGAAATTCTCTTTAACATTGTAGCTAACATCAGCACACTTGTTACATCTGTTTATTGCGGCGAATAAATTTAAATAGTCAACAGAAGTTAAATTCACGGAATTGACACAAGGTGAAAATTAGTTTCGCTTTTTGTCTGAACACAAATCACCATTTCACACGCTATTTCTTCATTTAGAGCTGTTGCCAGGCAACCAGCATACACTCCAGGAAGTTACCTGCCTGAGTCCAGACCTTTGAATCTGCCCACTCCTCTGAGACTGAGTTGACTGAAAATGGAAACGAGGGCAATGAGTTGCCAGTTCTGTCTAACATTGGGCAAGGCAGTTAATGCTCTCAGCCAAGAAATAGTCTTGCACAAACGCCCCCATATAACACCAAATTGCTGTTTTTATACTTTGTTATTTTGCTGATAACAAAAACGACACATAACTAGTCAGTTAGTGAGTTTTAGAAGTGTTGTAAGTGGACTTTTTTAAATTCAGGCAGGGCCAGATTACTGTTTAACCCGGTTTTCTGTCTTTGTGCCAAGTTAAACTAAGTGTCTGCTGTCCGTTGCTTCATATTTACCACACAGACATTAGAGTAGTACCAATTATCTGTCTGCCAGAGAGACAATAAGCATGATTCCCAAAATGTCCAGCTTTTACTTTGAAATCCTGTACTGTACGTTCCAACAAAAACACAAACTCTACGTGTGTGTGTGCTTTTCTAACATCACAGGAATGCTTTCTGAGGGTCTCTCAGGTTACCAGAGTGTCTCGTTCCCAGGTGGACACACTAGACTTGTATGTAAATCAGTGTTGATAAGACGGAGATAATTCCAGACTCTGTGAAGACACAAGAACACCGACTAACAGAAACCACTGTGCCGACTGTGGCTGCCTTCCGCTCGTGCGTTTGGCCAGATATGCAAAGTGAAGGCTGACCCGGGCTTCCCGTTACTCAGGGACTTTATGTGCAGCAGTGAAGTTCTATGTTCCATGTATTGTTGCGTAACAGAAGCTTGGTAAAAAGTTGAAGAGCTGAGAGGGAGGGGTGGTGCCGAGAGGTCAAGTTGTTCGTGAGGTAAAATGTGGGTGGGTTGGAGTGGGTTAGGTATGAAGAGTATGACAGGAGACACTGATACTGAGGCTGCAGGAATTTAAATCCCTTCATCCTGTAACATTTGCAACTCAAACTACGACAAAAAACATAGGAAATAATTTGAATGGCATGACTCATTCACTAAGGAAGAGAAGCAGGAAGAGTTTTTTTAGTCACCACTCTTACAAAACACATTTTAAACATGCTTTGCCTTTTGAATTCTCCCCAAATATAATCCAAGGAAAGCCCAGAGATGCACTGAATACCGCTCAGTGATTCCCACTTCACCAAATTAACAGACATGTTTGACAGTGAAATTTCTAAGAAGGAAACTCAGAACTCATCATTACTCACTTTTCTTAAACTACATAATTGTGTAGAGGAACACTTCAGGTGCCTGTGAAACCAACTCATATCCAAGGCTGCCCCCTTGTGGTGAGGTGTAGTACTGCATCAAAACTGGCAAGAAAAAAAAAAGTTGTTTCCCAATCCCTTAAAGACGTTGATAGTGTTAATAATGTCTATATATTCAAAGAGAGGACACTACAGGTGAACAGGTGAAACTAATAAATATGTTTGTGTTCCCAGGTGAACGGCAGAAAAGCCAAAGAGGCAGAGAGGGACTCAAAGCTGTCAGTCAGTCCGTCTCCATCCAATGCCTCGTCCAACACCTCGCTCACGACCCCGCCTGCAAACACCCCACCTGAGGTACGTCCCAGGAAATATCCTGCAGCACAATAACCTTACTTGATTTTCAAAATACAGTAATGTAACAATTTTCTTTCCCTTGTTTTTCATCATTCAGGGTTTTATCGCAGACGCCATCCCAGCACTCAACCTGACCCTGCAGCAGGTCAAAGAGCTCGCCCACCAGAAACGCTCCAACAAGAGAGCCCCGCCCATGGACTGGACCAAGAAAAATGAACTCTTCAGCAACCTATAGGGCACCTCACTGCACCTCACACACACACACACACACACACACACACACACACACACACACACACAGATTTATAGTGATTCTTACAAAGAGACGTCAGAAAGATATTTTTTACTGTCATGAAATTAAAACCTTAACTACTGGCACCAGACAAATCAAGCCAACCTGTAAAATATAGTCCTCCTATTATTATTACTCTTCATTTTATTATAACCCAGACGTTATAAATAAATGTATAATGTGCTACTAACAATGAGAGATGCATATGCCAATGACAGAGAACTGGACCGTGTTGAAAGTATGTGTGTATGTGTATCTATCCTTTGTGTGTGTGTGTGTGGACCCTGACAGCCCCTGCTGGCCAGAGTCTGGTGCCTGTGGAAACGAGGAGGAGTTGACCTAATGACCCTCCTCCTCCTCCTCTTCCTCCTCCGTCTGCTCATCTGTCCTTTAAAAGTTTATACTAACATTTAATACATCAGTGTCTTCAACAGCAGGAGTGAAACTAGCTCGACAATCCGTTCATCACATACGTTTAGTTTCTTTTTATGAGTTTGTTTGGGATCAAACATCTGACTGAACAGTGAGGTTTTATTTGTGTAGATGACACTTTACATGTTAAAGCCCTTTTTTCAATTTTAAGAAAGTATATGATCCCAAAATTAGTTAACCACCATTGCTTTCCTCATATCCTGATGTGACCTTCCTTACTGTTGGCTTTAAACTGGAAAGAACTGTGTTTTAAAGATGGTTCTCTTATATTGTATGTATATAAATATATATATAAATATATCATATCATATGTATATTTTTACATTTTTGACAAATTCTGAAAATACCTGTCCGTTTCTTGCTACAAAACTGTCCAGCATTTATCCATACTCTGTCTGAATATATGATATCATCTTTAATTAAATGTGAACTTCAGTTTATTCTGAGTAACTTATACCGTCCTCACTTCCTCACTTCATGTCCGCTTCAGTTCACATTTTGGAGCATAAAATGAAATATTTTTATTGCTCCTGAAGGAATGAGATTTTTACAGGTTTCTATCAATGTCTTCGAAACAATAATTATGTAACTTTGAGATGATGTATTTCTAAGACAATGTCTGTGCTTCACTAGATTTTATGCATTTGTCCAGTGTTAAGAATAGTGATGATTTTTCAAACTGAATGATTGAATTATATGAAGTTTTTTTTGTAGCTTGTGTAAGAATAAGCAATTTCTATACTGTAATAAATCAGTCATCACAGCAACGTCCAGTGAGGGTGGTTTTTATTCAGTGATGTGACGTGAAACTAGGATAATGTTTATGTGTGTGACATACCCCTAAAAATGCGATGCTGTAAAGATAATACGACTTGTCGTTCCCATTAATTCAAAAGGCATAGAAGCGGAAAATTGTAAAATATGGTAGTAATTTCTCATGGTGGCTATATGATGTTTTACACCTTTCATCTGAAAGTGATGCATTACATCATAACCTGCTATATCAAACAATAATGACCTCACACACCATTGAATATATGTAGTATATCAGCCCAATCACCAGATGTTGTCATTGTATGTTTCTGCAAACCACTGATATGTTAAATTTGTCTTAAGTAGATTTAGTAGATTTGCAGTAGATATCTTAAAACACTTTCTTTACGTTTCAACGGTGCTGTGGTTAACATGTGGTTAAGTTTAGGCACAAATACCACATGGTTCAGGTTAGGAAATCCAATTCTGGCTTTAAAAAAACAGTTTTGGTGGCATAACCAGAAGCCATCAATGTCTCAGTAAAAAACAACTGCTTTTCTTGGTACAAAGTCGACTGGAAACACAGTGATGTCTTGAATTAAAAAAAAAAAAAAAAATGGCATCGTTCATGTGGAAAGTCAGCAAGGGGTAGCTTAAAAACACCAAAGTTGAGGCCTAAAAAGCCGCTGGAAACACAGTGATGACTTGTTAAGACAGTGATTCCCAACTGGTGGGTCGTGGGTCTAATCTGAATGGACCGCAAGCGACTGGCGAACATGTTAACTTTGTAAAAGAAGCACACTTTATATTAACGTAGCGTGACTTTCTGGTGCGGAGCTTTTCAATTTGATGTCCGTTTCCTGCTGTAGAGTGAGCAGACAAAGGACAACTACTTGACAATGACAGAAAAACAACATGGCCAAACACGAGTTTGACAGTGAATATATTATACTGTGTGGACCTTAAGAAACCTTGATGTGATCTGCATGAAACGTACAAATGTAATGTAGTCATGGTCTGAAGAAATGAACATACCAACATCTTTTTTTCTGGTCACTGGGCTGAGCATATTGGTCATCATACTATATGCAATTAAAAGCATTGCATCAGAAGATGTAGTTAAGTCAGCACATTAACTGGTGCTGTAATACAAAATACTTGGGTTGAGCCGAATACTTGGATGAAATGAGTATCCGGTACAGATAATGTACTTTTAATGTGTATCATATGAGTAAAATGTGTCATTGTGGTGGCTGTGTTTAATCTATTACTCTTGGTTATTAAAAAATGATCTGGAGCTGAACTCTGAGGCTGTTCCGTAAATACTTTTTCTCACAAGTAATTAATATCGCAACTTCTAAACAATCCATGTAAATTTCAGGCTTAAAATAATAACTTCTGATGGGGCCTGACACACTTTCTATTTAAACTCCACCCACCTCTGGCGTAACCTTTGCCCATTCCAAGTACAGATACAGATAATTTCATTTGTTGAAAAGATACAGACAGATAATGGTGTACTTGCTCATCCCTACAAAATACTGTATTTCAATAATTCAAACATTCTTCATATACACAAAAAGCCAAGTGCAATAACTTTGGTCTTTGTTGTGTGTGAATGTTTTTGCACATTATTTGTATTAAAGCATCTGTAATCAATATCTCTACATCAGCAATATCATTACCCATAAGGTCACTTGCTTTCATGACACAACAGAGAATCGATACATGCTCTGTTTACAGTTGGTTTCCACTGCCCCCAAGTGACCAGAAATATTACTTATTCCAGGTTTAAAGTGTCAACACTGACTCACAAAGGGCAAAAAACTTTCATCTTGTGAGACCTTTCAACTCATCTGTCCATCAGGGGCAAAAAACTTTCATCTTGTGAGACCTTTCAACTCATCTGTCCATCAGGGGCAAAAAACTGATCTATGGTCAGAGATGCAGCAAGTTTTATCCCCCACAGGAGAGCGCAGCAGCTGTTTTCTTTCCCCTGTGATCCACTGATTATTTCTACATTAAACCATAACAGAAATGGCTCATTCAAACTGTTTACTAGCTGTTTTAAGGGTGAAAAAAGTGAAGACGCAACAATCAGTATTGTTGTGTGTCTAAAAAATCCCCATGTATTTGATGTCAACTGCTTCCTCTCTGTGGAACCAGAATCACTTGGACCAGAACACCTCAATTTAATTTCCAGTTTCATAAGTCTGACCCCATTAATGTTAAAATATTGTTCTAAATATTCACACAGATCCTTTTACTGCGTGTCATTATCTTATTTGATGCCCCTTGCTGTGTTGATGTTTATTTTCACATGACTCGTGCTTGCAGTTGAGTGTCTGTGCTCCTCTTCTGTCCTCCTGCATGTCACTTTGTCTCCAGCAGCTGTCTCTCTCTAATGGCTTCGACCTTTCTGCTCCTCCACTCTCCTTCTGGCCCTGCCATCAGAGTCACAGCTCACTGTCACACTTTGCGCTGCTCCCTCTGTGTCCCACTGGAATAATTAATGTAATTGGACTTTGTGACAGTGATGGACATCAGAGGTAAATGGGATAAAATGGTGACTCGGCATAGGAGGATAATGACAGCGGTTGTTGTAATTGGCTATTATAAGAAGCCTGGTAAAGATGCTACAGTGTGATTATGATGACAGTTGTAAGGATGTTGTTCAGAGGTGTGTTGTAATGACGTCAGAGATAATGATTATGACCTTTATCAGAGGATTAATTGGGGCCAATTTATCACCTTCACTGTGCAAATGAAAGCTAGGAATGTACAGCCTGCAGCCAGTTAGCTTAGACGCTAAATTTAAAGGGGTATTCCATAGTATATATTATATTATACATTCATGGAGCGTCGGTAGCGTAGTGGATAGAGCCGGCGCCCCATATACAGAGGCGATACCTCATTGCAGCAGCCGCGGGCTCGACTCCAGCTCACGACCATTTGCTGCATGTCACCCCCCACTCTCTCTCACTCCCCCACCTCACTCTCTCCTGTCAATTAAAGGCAAAAGCCAAAAAAAAATTATACATTCATAATATTCTGATAAATTACCTCAAGTGACATCACTTCAGTCAGCATTAGTTGAGGACTACAAGTTTCAAAATTAGAAATATCTTGGGGAGTGGAGTTAGCTAGCTCCTCATCTCGGTTTGAGGCTACATTAGCGGCTGCTAGCAGGGTTGTCATAGTGGGAGGGAAAGTGGGATTTATTACACAGGAACCTAATGGGAGGGTTTTCTTTTTTATTTCCAAGTAATTCGTGCTATAACTACATTAAAATTGGCTGAATAAATCAGTTGAAAGACTGAACTTTATATAAAAATAGTAGACACTGTCAGAGGCCCCTCTCACCTCTTTAAAAGGTGCAAGATGGTTTAGTCTGCCCCTGCACTAGGATCCATCTCTAAACCCAGCTAGTGCCGAGTGTGCGACTGCTTACACTACTGGAGCACAAGATGCATGATAGAGACATGGATTAAGAAAGGAAGGGCAGGGGCCCACAGAGACTGCTGATGCATAGGGCCCAGAATTTGGTGCCACACTTGTAGCTGCTGGCATAACACACCCAAATCTCTGACCAAAGGGTCACCGGCCATGTTGTATTGTGGGTAATTTTGGCGCCAGGTTTTGACAAGGAAGAGGAATGGGTGGAACAAAAATGCCCCTTTTTAAAAACTGTCCCTTGTGAGAAAACAGTTGAAGTATTAAAGCTGGGATAGGCAGTTTTCTATTGGTGTCATTAGGCAAAAATTCTATAATAAACTTGGAGCATGTTGTTATTCAATTGGTCTGAGAGAAAACTAGACTTCTGCACCTCTTCTTGGTTCTGGTTTTTTTTTCAGACAGGCGTGCATGTCCCTTCAGATGGTGAAAGCCTGATTTAATGATGGAAAATTCTGAAGAAAAAGTTGCTCTTCCAGCTTTAGCAACAACCACCTACAAAGCAACACAAAAGGGGAAAAGACAGTGTTAAAGTGCGTTAAAGAAAGTCTTGACAAGTTCACATTTATGTAGCTAATGTTAGTGAGAGCCACAAATCAAAGTGTGTTATCTCAGAGGGCTTTAAAAGCTTGCAAGTCTGCAAAGAAAACATGATGGTAATTCATCACAATCAGGATAACTGAAATGAATGACTAGTGCTTGTACATTTTACTGTATAAAGCATGTGCATATGTCCGTGCTTGTCTGGTGGGAGAGGCTTAGCACAGAGAGGAGAGCTGAAGGAGGGGTTTTTTTATTTTTCCTTTTCCCCGGAAAACCGCCTTTTTCAGCTTTAACACTGGATACTTTAAGTTATATAGGAAATAAAAAGAGGAAACAGTCAAATTTCCTATTTAGGAATTATTCACGGAGCTTTCTCTGTTTCAGCAACTCATTGAACTCTTCAAAGTCATGTGTTTGTGCAGCCCAACTGCCAGAAAAATGTTGGCATTGTACGATTCTGCAAACCATTCATACTGTGCATTTGTATGTTATTATGGAGCTGATATATTTTGGCTAAGGTGTCATTAGGTTTAGTCACAGAAACCACTTGATTATACCTAAGAGAAGATCACGTTCTGTCTAAAAATACTTGCATTTGAGGGCACAATGTTGCAATGTTTGGGTAAAACTACCTTTCGTGGCAACATCCTGGCAGAAAAAGCAGCAACTTCTTGGTAAAAAAAAACCCCAACTAGTTTTCGTGCCATTATCCCAGCAGGAAACACAGCAATTTCTCAGTTAAAAGCAACCATTTTTAATGGCACCATCCCCTGTTGAAAAACAGGTCACAAAACAGCACCCATGTTTGCTGGCAAAATGCAGCTGGAAAAGCAGCAACGAGCCGCTAAAAACATAACCAGTTTAGTTTGTCGATTTCAAAGAGTGGTCTGCAGCTTGGCAGGTGTCTTACCTTCACCTCCCGATGATAAAGTCAGCTCATACATTACATCTCCTAAGAAACTTTGACATTATATGTATGCAAACATGCAAACATATTTGTGGTTTGCAGAATTGTACA